CTGCTTCGTTACAAGATCCATTTCAATGAAAGGTATTACTTGAATACATAAGTGAAAACACCAAACTCTGCCTTAAATACATACTTAAAAATAATCATTTCTTTTTAACTTAAAGCACCTTCTATTGCTCTCAGCCTTCCCCAAATCACTGTATTTGCTGCTGTGATCTGACTCCCTGTTAGAGGGTGGCTACATTCAATCTTCATTGTCCTACTGGATGTAGGAACATAGCCACTCTCTCTTACTCGCTCCAGAGATGGACTACAGACTATGGCCTATGCTCTATGTTATGTATAGCATACAAAGAAGAGTGCATGTGACCACAACTAACGTGTAGTGCTCATTCTAAAACAAACAGAAGTAAGAAAGAAAAGGACAGGTTTGGGAACACACAAAGAATGTTACAAGGAAGCAGAAAAGCATAGTGAAAAACAGTTTAATGAAAAATAGATTATAAGGCCATTAAGTAGCAGATATGTATTGATTATTTTGGAAAATTAAGAATAATGTTTAGTGTCACTCTAAAGCAGGGGTCGGCAACCCCTCGATCATGGTTTACCTGTCGACCACGGGCAGGCAACAGGTAGGCCGCGAACAGGTCCCTCTCCCCCAGCCTCCTCCACTGCTGCCGACATCCTCCGTGCACAGAGGAGAGAGGAAGACAGCAGGGCTCAGGACGGAGGGCAGGAGGAGGAGCTGGCCAAATGAACTTTTCATATTAACCCGCAGGTGGCTGGTTGTTAGGACCGACCTAGCAACCAATCACCTGCGGGTTAATATGAAAAGTTAATTTGGACAGATCCTCCTCCTGCCCTCTGTCCCGAGTCCTGTTGTCTTCCGCTCTCTGCTGTGCACTGAGAATGTCAGTAGCAGCAGAGGAGGTGCGGGGGCAGGGGGCCAGAGGTCACTGCTATGAGGGAAAGGGGGGTACAGAGGCCATTGCTTGGGGGGGGGGGCACGCAGAGGTCACTGCTATGGGGGAAAGGGGTGCAGAGGGTACTACTGGGGGGAGGTGATATGCAGAGGAAACTGCTATGGGCAGGGCTACCCACATAGCAGTATCCTCTACTGACCTTCACCCCCCCCCCCCCCCCCCCCCCCCCCCCAGAGCAGTGTCTTCTGTCTCCATTCCCCCATAGCAGTGACCTCTAGCCCCCCTTCCCCCCCACCCACCCCCCAGGAATGTCCTCTGCCCCCCTAGCAGTGACCTCTGGCCCCCTTCTCCACCCCAGCAATGTCCTCTGCCCCCCTTTCCCCCATAGTAGTGACCTCTAGCCCCCCTTCCCCAACCAGCAGTATCCTTTCCGCCCCCTCCCTTCCCCACCCATGGACAGGTATTTTTAAAATCTGAATTCCCAGCAAGTGGATTTTCTTCTCACGTGAAAGATCAGGAGGAGCAAGTTGCAACACTGGGCAGAACAGACAACCTTGAAAGGGGTCTTCTGCTCTCTGAGCAGGTAGCTAATGGGATTGATGTGGAGGGTCTAATCAGGATTATCAGGTAGGAAGATGGGTTACTGTAACGAGAGGGAGTGGTAGGGGCTCACAGAAAAGGCCAGCACCCAAACAGATTTGCCAAGTTGGGTGAAGAAGTGGGGGTAGCCAGATCAGGGGTGGCAGCCCTGGAGGTCACTGCTATCCCTAACAGCTGGGAGGACAGACCATATGGGAGGGGTGGTGAGGGTAGTGCAGGAAGGCCTAGACAGCTGGTGGTAGTGGGGGATTCTATAATCAGAAGGATCGATAGAATAATTTGTCTTCAGGATCGCCTCAACCAAATGGTTTGTTGTCTCCCTGGTGCCAGAGTTCGGCATATGGTGGACCGAGTTGATAAATTACTGGGAGGGGCTGGGCATGACCCAGCTGTCTTGGTCCATGTTGGAACCAATGACAAAATACATGGAAGGTGGAGGCTGCACAAGCATCAATTTAAAGAACTAGGCTGCAAGTTGAAGGGAAGGACCTCCAAGGTGTAATTCTCTGAAATATTACCTGTGCCATGTGCAACTCAGGAAAGACAGGGGGAGATTAGAGAACTAAATGCATGGGTAAAAACCTGGTGTAAGAGGGAAGGATTTGGGTTTCTAGAGCACTGTGCTGACTTTTCATTGGGGTGCAACCTATATGCTAGGGATAGTTTGCACCTAAATGCAAGGGGGTCTGCTGTGCTAGGGGAGAGGTTTATGGGAAGACTGGAGAAATATTTAAACTAGGATCAAGGGGGAAGGAGAATTAAATTATAACGGGGTAGACAGATCAGACAGGGGTCAGAACCTATTGGAGGGTGGAATAGGGAAAGATGGGGGGGAAGGCTATGGCAAATAAGATTCCCATGTGACAAACAACCAGTGGAATTGGTACCATTTGTATGAAAATAAAAAATACTCAAATATGTGTGTACAAGGTGTCAATGGATTAAAGTGTTTGTTCACCAATGCCAGAAGTCTGCCAAGTAAAATAGGTGAGTTGGAAGCTTTGGTGCATGAACAGAACTATGATTTCATTGGTATTGCTGAATCTTGGCTTCATTCTTCACATGACTGGTCCATTAATATTCCTGGCTATGTTCTCTTTCGGAGAGACAGAGTAAATAGGAAAGGTGGTGGTGTCTGTCTCTATGTGAGAAGTGATCTCAGAGCGAGTGTGAAAGAGGACCTAGTTGATGGAGAGTGTGATGAGGCTGAAGTATTACTGGTGGAACTGCACATCGGTGTGTATTTCAAAGGTAATCACTGAAGTTTGTTATAGGCCTCCCAGTGTTAATGAGGAGGTGGAGACTCAGCTCTTTGCACAGATTGAAAGGGCTACAAGGACTGGGACAGTGATAATAATGGGGGATTTTAACTACCTGGAAATTGACTGGAGTAATGGTACTGCAGGAACAGTTAAAGGGCAAAAATGTTTAAATCTACTACAGGACAATTTTATGGTACAGTTCATAGAGGCCCCAACTAGGAATGATGCTCTCCTGGACCTGGTAATGTCAAACCATGCAAAGCTTATTATGAATGTCCATATAAAAGAACATCTGGGTAGCAGTGACAATAACATGATTTCTTTTATTGTTAGCTGTAAACAGCAAGCGCATACGTGAAAAATAAAAACGCTCAATTTTAAGGGAGCTAATTTTCCAAGGGTGAGAGCTGCTCTCCAAGACTGGGAGGAAATATTGGCATCAATGAACACAACACAGAAATGGGAGTTCTTCAAAAAGACTCCATGTGAACACACTGCACAACATAAGCTTAAAAGGCTATAAATCAAATCTATGTGGCTTACGGCCAAAGTTAAAAAGGCTATAGATAATAAGAAAAGAGCTTTTATTAAAATATAAAAATGAAGGACCGCTATAATCGTTTAAACATCACAAAGAGTATAACAGAATATGCAAAAAGGAAATAAAGGCCACAAAAAGTGAAAACGAACAACAGATTGCAAAAGATAGCAGGACAAACCCCCAAAAAACTCTTCAAATATATTAATAGTAAAAAGGCCCGGTCCGAGCATGTAGGCCCTTTACAAAATAATGTAGAGTGGGTGACTGGGGACAAAGAGAAGGCAAATGTATTAAATACCTTTTTCAGTTCTGTGTATACAAAGTATCATGGGGGAGCTCTTGTCCATAATGGGCATGGTATTGACACAGCTCCAGGTGATCCACATTGGCTCACAATTGATATGATCCAAAATTATTTAGACAGAATAAAGGTGAATAAAGCACCTGGATCGGATGGTATACATTCACGGGTCCTTAAAGAATTGAGCTCTGTCATTTCAAACCATTGTTTCTAATTTTTAGGCACTCTAATGACTGGCATAGTACCACTGGATTGGAGCAAGGCCAATGTGGTACCAATATTTAAAAAGGGGTCAAAATCTTTACCAAGTAATTATAGACCTGTTATTTTAACGTCTATAGTTGGGAAGATACTGGAGAGTTTAATAAAAGACCACATAGATAAGTTCTTGCTGGAAAAAAAAATATTTTATGCAACAGACAGCATGGATTCATGAAAGACAGAAGTTGTCAAACAAATCTGATTTCTTTTTATGAGGAAGTGAGTAAAACCTTGGACAGAGGGGTGGCGGGGGACGTGGTATACTTGGATTTTGCAAAAGCGTTAGACACAGTTCCCCACACACGGCTAATATGTAAGGTAAAGTCTACGGGCTTGGAAAAATCTGTATGTAAATGGTTAGAAAACTGGCTAAAAGATCGTATTCAGAGAGTAGTGGGTAATGATTCATACTCTGAATGGTCTAGGGTTGTCAGTGGTGTACCCCAAGGTTCAGTGTTGGGACCCTTATTTAATAGATTTATAAACGATATAGGGTCTGAGATTAAAAATCCCATTTCAGTCTTTGCAGATGACACCAAGCTGTGCAGTAGAATAATGTTCTTACAGGATGTCTTCAACTTACAAGTTGACCTCAATGTACTTAATGGGTTTAATTGGGCAACTATGTGGCAAATGAGGTTTAATGTAAGGTTATGCACTTGGGGGATAAGAATATGCATGCTTCATACATACTGGGGGGGGGGGTACAATTGGGGAAATCAATGGAGAAGTATCTGGGAGTTCTGGTAGATCACAAGCTTAATAATGGCATGCAATGCCAAGCTGCGGTTTCTACAGCAAGCAAAATCCTCTCTTGTACTAAAAGAGGTATAGACTCCAGAGAGATAGATTACCCCTGTAAAAATCATTAGTAAGACCTCATCTGGAATATGCAGTTCAGTTTTGGGCACCAATTCACAAAAAGAACATTGGGGAACTGAAGAAAGTACAGAGATGGGCAACTAAACTGATAAGAAGCATGGAGGAGATCAGATATGAGGAAAGATTAGAGGAACTGAATTTATTCTCTCAAGTAGAGGAGATTAAGGGGGAATATGATCAACATGTATAAATACATCAGTGGTTCATATAGTGAACTCCAGGGCTTAAAATTTCACATCTTGAGCTACTAGCCAGGCCTTAAGAGTTACTCGCCACCAACAAACACACAGACATGTACATACACACACAGAAACATGTACTCGCACACACACACACATACAGACACATATATATACACACACAGGCATGTACAGACACTCATACACACATATACATGTACATACACAGAAATACAAACACACACACGTATGTACATATACACAAACACACACATGTAGATGCGCACACACAGACATGTACACACACACAAGCATACACAGACACACACACACACCCTATAAAAAGTTTCAGTACTTCCTTGTTCACTCACAGAGCCGGGTACTGCACTCTAGGAGAGGCAGAGAGCACAGCACACACTCCTTCCTCTGCTTTCACTGCACGCAGCTATTAAGCAGTCTGACGGTTCCCAGTGCCAGTGACAGATCAGGCCTGAGCTCCGAGCCTGCTCAGCAAGACGACCCTGGGGGACACACTCGCCCCCACCATAATTTCCACTCGCCATTGGCGAGCAGGCGAGTGGAAAATTCAAGGCCTGGTGTACTCTGTGTAAAGCTATTCCCCGAGGTCATCACAGAGGACAAGGGGGACCTCTTTACGTCTGAAGGAAAAGAAAATCTCCAAACACGAAAAGGTTTCTGCACAGCGAGACCTGTGAAAATGTGGAATAGACTCCCTCAAGAGTTGGTTCTGGCCAGCTCAGTGGATTGCTTTAAAAAAGGCCTGGATTCTTTCCTAGATACACAGAATATAACTGGATACGAACATTTATAGGTAAAGTTGATCCAGGGAATATCCAATTGCCTCTCGGGGGATCAGGAAGGAATTTTTTTCCCTGCAGGAGCAAATTGGATCATGCTTTGCTGGGCTTTTTTTCACCTTCCTCTGGATCAACTGTGGGTATAGGAGTATAAAACTTTTTTTTTTTTTTAAATGGTTGAACTGGATGGATTTTTGTCTTTTTTTCAGCCAGACTATGTAATTGTCCTCCTGGAGCAGCTGAAAGCTAGCATCTCCTCCTCACCCTCCCACCAGCATACAGCTGCTGCAGGAGGAAAATCCAGGGATCGGTTCTAGTAAACGTCTCCCCCGCTGCCCCTGCCATCCTTGTTCCTCCTTTTTTTCTGCTGCATGCCCCCTCCCCCAAGTGCTCCCCTTTCAACGGGGCTCCAAAAGAAATTGTGAAAAATAAAAAAACTATTGACACCATCCACTGCCCTGATGACTGACAACAACCTCTGCCCTATTGACAGACATTGTCCATTTTTAAGTTAGGCCAAGTTTGTATTTTTACGACATTTGTTTTATTATATTTTTCTACATTTTCCTTGCTATTTAGTTAGGCAATGCTAATTAAATTTTTTGATCTTTGATCTCTCATGTAGTTCAGGTAGATCTCCACCTCTCAAAGGTTGCCTACCCCTGCTCTAAAGTGTATTTGCACTTTTCTGTGAATAATCTGTAAATAAATGAAACCTTCCTCCACTGTGTTACTGAGAATGAAAATCCCATTCCACTGAGCTGTATAGCTTTATCATTGCACTTCGCCAGTTCAAGATGTTCCACAATGCAAATAAAGCCCCTAAAACCAAGAAAACAAAACTCCACCACACTGAAATACGGAAGGTTTACCTGACAGTAGACTGACAATTCCCAGGCGCCAAGTCGCAGTCAGCCCTCATTGCTCTGCTGTCCCCCACCCCACATCTTCGGCCAGCACCACTAACCCGCCCTACAGAGTGGAACCCAGCATTCCGGGACCCCTGGAGTCCCCCCCCCCCCCCCCCCCCCCCCCCAACCCTCTGAGCACAGAATCCAGGCGGAACATAGAGCTGTACAGCTCCATGAAAGCCAGCTCCCTCGAGAGTACCACAAGTCTCTGTTCCCCCCCCCCCCCAGGGGCCCATGGAGCAGAGGACAAGGCCTCCCACACTGACCACCCCATCCACACCAAGGAGCCCATCAAAGCAGCCTTCAGCTGCAGCCGTGTTCCACATCAGAAGACGGAGTAGGCAGGGCCACGAAGTCCTGCCACCTGATAGTGGACAGTCCCACCTCCAGCACGGCGCCGAACCCCCCCCCACCTGTGACGCTGCCCCCCCCCCCTCCTGTAACGTCCCCCTCCTATGATGCTGCCCCCCACCTGTCCCATTGCTTCCTCCCATGGAAATTCCCCCTCCTGTCCTGCTGGCCCCCACTGGTCTTGCTGCCCCCCCCCCCTTGTGATGTTGTGCCCACCTCCCGTCCTGTTGCCTTCCTTCTGTGACACTGCCCTCCTCCTATCCTGCTGCCATCCTCCTGTCCCGCTGCTCTCTCATCCTGCTGCCCCTCCACCTGGCCCCTAACTTTTTTAGCTGGCTCCTAGATTCAAAGCAAATTTGTCAAGCCCTTGCATAGATGTTACCAAACCCATATAGAATGGAACACTGCCTCTGCTCCTAAAGTCCCATCGTGTCACCAGTAACCATAATAAATAGAAAATACTTTTTCTGCCTCTAAACACCTCTGCATGTTATGTGTCCACTCACACAAGCATTTGGAGGAGTTTACAAGCAGGGTGTTTAGAGACAGCAAAAAGAAAAAAAAAAAAAAAAAAAAAAGAAAACAGCAACCGCTGCCAGAGCGTTCAGAAGCAGCAGTGTTTTAGCAGGAAAAATGCTCGACGGGCCTAAACACGTGAACTGTGTCTAAACCTAAGCGTTAGGAGCATTTAGCACTTTAGCGTTTTTCATTGCAATGGCCAGAATAAAATTATTATTCTTTTCAATTAAATAAACACCCAGGCACTTGACACGCCTAAATGCATTATAAGCATCAAGAATTTGTTTCTGTCAAAACACTGCTGCCAAGAGGAAAGGCTTCTAGGACAGACAGCAAAAACTTCCAGTGTGCATGAGGACTTAATCTGCTAAAGTTATTTAGAGCATTTCCAAATAATAAAAAAAAAAATACAGGCTTCATGAGAGAAACATGGGAGCTGCAACGGCTAACTTTTCAGGTATGCTACTTACTTGGCTGCCTGCCTTCCCTATTTCTAATGCTTCTACTTTCCTCAAGGACAGTGAAAATAAAAAAGCATCAGCATGCCAGATAGTTGTCCTTGTTAAAATGCTAGTTTCCTAATGGGTAAGACCCCCCCAAAACTATTTCAACCAAATTAATCTGATAACCAGACACAACTATATTTGCTATGTGTTCCTATTAACACGCAATTTGGGAGATTTAAAAAAGAAAAAATAGTCCAGGACTTTTTTCCGTGTTCCTCACAGGTAGAGCAGCCTGTTGATATAATGGGCTGCTCTACCAGTGACCCGTGCACGAATGTGCATATGTGAACAAGGCCTAAGTGGCACTGTTTTTCGGCAGACATTGACTTCCTGTCTGCTGTGAAAGTTCAAGAGATGCTGAGTGCCTTTCGCCTCTCAGGAGAAGTCTTGTATTTTTATCAATTAATACACGGCTTCCTATGATTGGCCAAAGAAACAGACTGTACAGTCTTAATAAGGATACTTATCAGGTACTGGGAAAATAACTACTAAAAGTTTGACAAAATTAAAGAAATATTTTTTTTATATAGACCGCCACATGAAGGAAACCAGTTTATAAATAGAAAGGCTAACATGCTTCAAATAGCTGACAATGCGCTTGTGATAGGAGAGTGACAGGAACAGCTGAAATACTCTTGAACTGGAACCGTCAACTCCTTGGCAACATATTTTAGGTCTTTTTCTTACTATGCAGAATATTGACCATCCCTTAATTACTGCATCTTTTGTTCTACACCCAGAATTAAATGGCATAGGCCATCAAACTGAAATGCATAGAGGTAACATTTTTTTTCATGCGGTATTCTTTTAAGTGATTGTCGTCCTTTAAAAAAAAAGGACTAAAAACAAGTTAAGCCTACAAAGAGACGGCATAGTACCTGCCTACCCAGTCACTTACAAAAAAGTCTGTAAAAAAGGTACTAACCTTTCTGGCAGCTTGCTTCTAGAAATGCTGCCAATTAAAGTCTCACACACTAGTTTATATTCCCTGTAAAGGAGAGTCTGACGTTTTAGTGGTCAGAAGGCACAAGCGCACTGTCCCGGCCCTACTGCCAAAAGTCTACGAGAGGCTGAAAACTTGTGGCTGGACAAAGCACCAAGTGGTACCAACATTCAGGGCAGTATGCACACAGGGAGAATGCCCACAATGCAGATTTCTTCTTTTACGGGTATTCGTCCCTGTGCACATACTACCCTAAACATTAGTACCATTTGGTGCACCATCCAGCCTCTGAGTTTGAAAGACTGCTGGCAGCAGGGATGGACAGTACACCTGTGCCTTCCGCTTGCACAAATACGCCAGAATCTTATGCACAGAAGCTAAACACCCAGTGTGTTTGAGGCCTTTCTGCTCTCCAGCCATACAAGTTGAATACCTGCTCCCCCCACCACATGTACCAGTTCCTTTTGCTAGGCATGTTTGTCCCAACAAGTCGCATGAGCTGTGTGTAACATAAGTTTACACACCTAGAAGCGTGGTATACCAACAGCAATCGGAGAGCATTGAAGTTAGAGTTTTAAGAAACAGGCCACAATATAGGTGCAAGTATAGGTGATATTCTTTTACACAGCTGGTCTTTCGTATGCAAGTAACCCTGTGGCAACTAGGTATTTTTGTAAAAAAATTTTTCATAAAGGGACACAGAGACTACTAGCACAAGATACTACAGTACACCGTGGGTGACCAGGCATCTGACACGCCTAGAGGTGTTCCAGATGCTTTAGATCAGGGTGCTCAACCTGCGGCCCTCAGAGCCCTCTGCTTGCAATCTCACGCACGGGGATGGCAGAACGGCAAGCTCAGATTGCTGGTTGCCGACCCACCATCCCAGAGCATCAAGAGTGCATAGATCCGGCGCCAGAAGCAAGAGCCAAATAAGCCAACGCTTCCTCTGTAGCGTTGGCTCCTGTCCCAGGCGGAGTGATACCAAGTCCTTGGACCTTTCAAGCAGCCTAGTGATGCCAGCAGAAACCAGAAGAGAAAAGGTCAGTTTATTTAACATTCCATAGTTTTGCAATAGGCATATTAGCACTATTAAAAAAGAATTATTAGGCTGCTTTCACACTGATCAGCACGGTGCACCTGTAGCTTTTCTGCAGGTTAGCTGCACTGACCCATAGAGTTCTATTATATCCTGCAGGTTTGGTGTGCTTTCAGAAAGTGCACCACACCTGCAATATATATAATAAAAGTCTACGGAAAAGTGCAGCTGACCCACAGGAAACCTGTGGTGCAGGTAAACATAAGTGCATCAGTTTGAAAGCAGCCTTAAAGGGGACACAGGACAGGGCTCATTTAAGTTAGCAGTTGGTGGGGGAGGGTGTAAAATCCCATAGTTGAAACATGTTTTTACCACATATCCCCAAGCACTGATGTAGTGCCAAGGGTACCTGCCCTATGCTCCAGCGGGCCAGTCCAGCCTCCCTGTCACATTCTGTTTTACACTTGGACAGGAGAGAGCAGCATAAACAGGAACTAATCCTCTCCATTTTCCTCCTGCAACT